CTGTTTCCCAGCTAACCACAGTTTTTCAGAGAGCTAACACAACCCAAACATCAGAGTTTTACAGCAGTTTCTAGGAGTGAGGAGATGAGGCAGCAGACAAGCAGTTAATTTTGCATAGGAATGAAGGGGTATGGCAGTCTTGGGCTTCTTCTTGCTTCTCTCAGGCCTTCATAGCAGTACACAAATATTGATTTCTCTTCAGAGGGTAAAATACCACATACAATTAAATCACATCTGAGTTAAGTACAAAGAAATTAAAATATATTCAACATGGCACTTGCACAAACACCCCCAACCATAACTTTCAGGGGGAGATGACTTTCACAAGCATTTTTTTTCCTGCACTGTTTGGGGCCAGCACTTCTAAGACAGGATGATGCTGCCTCTCTGTTGAGGCCCAGCTACTTGAGAAACGCCATCAAACACATCCCGATTTAACATTTCTGCAAACATCACAAGGGCAACTTCAGCTGCATTTTCAGATCTTCCTCTGAACAGTCACTATTTTTAACAGAAGTCCCAGGGAGATAAAAAACCTTCTGCCTTTGAATCCCACACACATCACTTCAGGATAATAGTCTCTTGCTAGAGGAAAAAGAAGGGAAAACCCAAGTAGCAAACTAATTAGGGGATCTTAGTATCACCTCAGTTGTGCAGCAGGTTTGCCTGCCAGTACCTTGTCCTTCATCTTTCCACAGCATTGCCAAAAACAAGGCAAAAAGTCTGAGTGTTCTTCTGTGGGCACTGGGGTCCTTTTGAAAACCTGCTCTTTGAGAATTATTTCCTGGAGTAGGATTTGGGCATTTATTTTTCAAATGACTGCAATATACAAGTGACTCTCTTCCTCTTTATCCTTACTCCAGTCTCTGTCCACAGCCCTTCTGGGAAAATAAGTCTTCATATAGTTTTAACTGATACCTCAACCACTTTCAGGGATGCATCGCATTTCTTCTACAAACCTTGCCATCCAACTTCTACAAACCGTTGTTTGTTTGTAAATATACACAGTTTTGGGATGAGCTAACTCCCTTTTATTAAGTTTAAAAATCTTGACGCTATTGCATACCACAGTCCCTTTTGTAATCAATATAAATTATCCAGTTAATTACAAGTCATTCTCTTCATAGAAGAAAAGATATTAAATACAAAGTCTGGGTATACTCTAATTTAACTTCAATTAACCTGTTATCCCATGAACAGAGGCAAACAAATACCATCAAACCAGTTCATTTTCCAAGACCCCAATGCTTTGGTATCTAAGATGCAAATATACCCTTAATTATTGACTCAAATCAAGACAAAAATTGTTTTAAAAACAAACAGGCAAAAAAAGAAAAAAAAAACACAGCAAAACCAAACCAACAAAACGCACATAAACAAAGCAACAAAAATGACCCAGAAGAAAATCCCCAAACCTTTTCAGCTTTCTTCCAACCTTTCTCTTACCATGGCCTTTGATATGGTCAAAGCAGCAATCCCAGAGCCAGTCTTCCTCGGTCTGAACATTGATTCCTACATGATGGAAGAGTTTCAGTCTAGTCACAGCAGGCACAACACATATGTTAAAAGATTAAGAAAATCCATTCTCATAGCTTGCTGTACACTGACAAGGCCTTGCTCATTCCTGCACAGGTGTAATCACCATATAAGAAATCTGTACTAGAAAGACACAGTTTCTATCAACAAAACACCAGCTGGGGAAGCTCTGCTGTTGTTCCCCAGAAGAAGCAAGGAGCATGGGTGAAAGGATGGGTTTTGCTGGTGTAACATCCCTCTTGAAAAAGTTGTACTTCAGCAATGGCAGAAGGAACACAGTTTTTCACACACTTAATCAAGGTAGCTTAACTAAACTACCAAAACATTTGGCAGGGGACGAGATGATCCCCCAAAAGCAGAAAACCTCATGCTGCAAAGCCACCTGTTTAGCAAGCCGGCCACAGAAGCAACTTCTCTGCTGGGGCGCAGATGCTGGCCCAGCCCCGGGGTCCCAGCCATGGTGCCCCTCGGGCTCCTTTTTTGCCCACGGGTTTAAATTTTTCCTCGGGAGGCCACGCGGCCACCTCGGGAGGACTAGGCCGTGGATGAGGACCCGGGGCCGGGGCCGCCACGCAGGAGGCCGCAGGCAGGGGTCAGCGCGACAGCCAAGGCACCAGCGAAGTACCCGGCTCCCAAAGCAGTGAAACGGGGGGTGGGTGTGGGCGGCACGGGTATTTCAACGTTAAAATCCCGCTGAGAAGGGCAGAGCCCGCCCCTCGCCGGGAGCCGCCGCCGCGCCTCCGCCGCCAGCCCACCCAGTCCCGGCAAGCCCCACCCTCTCCTGCCACTCCCGCTCTCTATTGGTCGAGGCGCCCGCCCGTCAGCCTGTC